CTCGCGGTTGGCCTGGGAACGCCTTGGCATTCCCCCGGAGGAGCTGGAGGAAGTGTCTGGAGAGAGGGAAGTCTGGCGTCTTTGCTTAGACTGCTGCCCCCGCGATCCGGTTCCGGATAAGCGGAGGAAAATGAATGGATGGATGGATGGATGGATGGAGCATCTGCTCACAACCGGTGGGTGGTATAGTGTGAGTATATACAGTACTATGGATTTGGGATACATCGTAATTAGGACTGCAACAAATAATCGATATAAATTGATAAAAAAAATAGTTGGCAACGAATTTAATTGATGATTATTTGGATCTAGTCATGCAGCTGTGAGAGAGCTGGGTCAGAGACAATTGGTCGGAGCCTCCCTTCCAGCACCCTGATTAGGCTTTCCCAGGGAGGCTGAGTAGTGTGATATCCCAGTGATTGGAGCACACTCTCTGGTCCCCTATTTTAAAAATGGGAACCACCAACTTAGTCTGTACATCCTCAGGCACTGTCCCCGTCTGATGCATGTCAACCCAGACAGCAAAACTATGTCCAGAGACTTCAATATCTGAGGGTGGATGAGATTCACCCTCAGATACCACTTCTGGTGCCTGAGAGACCTCTGCCAGAGATATGAGTGAGGCTTACCCCAAGTCTTCCAACTCTGCTTCCTCCTCGGAAGACATGTTAGACAGGTTCAGGAGTTCCTCAAAGTGCTCCTTCCACCGCCTGACAATAGCCCCACTCTGAGTCAGCAGTTCTCCTCAACTGCCAAACACAGCCTGGGCCAAGCCCTGCTTTTCCTTCCTGAGTTGTCAGATTATTTGCCAAAACCTCCTTGAGGCCAGCCAAAAGTTCTACTTATTCAAAAACAATTTCTAAAGTCATACAATGGTGGACATATTAACCAAGCAAAAATCTGAATTTGAAGAACAAACAACTGATAGAAGACAGCAAGAGCTGCTTTGAAAATCAACAGGAGGCATTTTTTAGGACTGTATATCGGTTCTTGTGCAACTGTGTTTAGATGGAGATCCTGTAATCTCACCATGGTCATGCCGAGAACCAGCGGGGTGATGAAGTAGATGGGCGGCTGGCTGTGTCCCTGCCGCAGCTCGTGGAATGTGTAGAAGAGATCTATCCAACACACTATCCATAATAACAAGCCAAACACCTGAGAGACAGAGAGGGTAAGGGGAGAAAAATCAGTCAGGCAATATTCTAAAAACATAGGGACGTAAAAGCTACAATTAACTGGTGGTTCAATAGCTGAACTTTCAACGGTGAGAGAGTATTTTCGCCAAGTTCTGTGGTCATTGTTCAGTGTGGTATTAACCATGTGCATTTAAAGGTCTGCTAATAGAGCATGATGACACCTAAAACATTATTGAGTGCCCTAGATGTCTGTCTGCATGTCAGCCCTGTGATAGACTGGCGACCTGTCCAGGGTGAACCCCGCCTCTCACCCAATGTCAGCTGGGATTGGCTCCAGCCCCCCCACAACCCTGTTCAGGAATAGGAGGTATAGATAATGGGTGGATGGACTTTTACTTAGAGTATTTTCACACTGTGGTACTCCTAATTTACTTCAGTAAACAATCTGAGTACTTTTTAAACCACTGTTTTTTGGTAGCCAGCAAAGGAACAAACAAAACAGGTGTGTAGAAACAAGGTGTTTTCTTTGTCCCACCGATTTGACCGAAGTGCTGCCATGTGTGTTGCTGTGCTGCTTATTTGTTAATACAGTCAATGCTGTGCTATGCTAACATATTCACAGTTCTCCACACTTGTCTTTTAAAGCTAATTAATAAATAGGCAAATGAATTCCTTGTCTGAAAATGAAGTAACATTAGAACCATAGATGTATGACACAGTTCTAGTATGTGTCTGTGTGTAACACTGGCTTCACAGTTGAGTGCCGCTTTTTTGTTCCGTCAACATTGTGATTTATAATCATAGAAGTTATGAATCGTGATTCTAATATGAATCGATTTTTCTCCCACCTTTAGTCAATCATTTATGTTATTTCTTTATGATGAGTTGGGGAATGAATGGATGAAGTCCCCTCTTACCGTTTTGAACCTGTTCTTAATGGACATCATGATGTAGCCTCTGTTGTTCCTCTTAAGACAGAAGAGGTAGATAGGGCACACGACCCACAGATAGATGCACGGCAGCCATGACAGGACAGAGAGCTGAAAACACTCTGGGAGGTCGGGTCGCTCTGTGTGGAGCGTATAATTGGCTACCTGCAGAGACACAAAAGATGAGAAATTTACAGCTCAAGATCTCAAACAACCCCAGATAGCGCTACCTTAACCTTCCCACTGACCACCAGAATTCAAGATTCTGACGTACAGTCTAAATGGTGCACGCATATTTCATCCCACCTCCACAACCCACACAAACACAGCTTCTTCATACCAGATGTTTTCCTTGAACTGTAATCTGTAAACACTATGGTCAGGGGGTAGGAATCGTGATGTCAAATCCAGTTCTTCACATTTTGAAGAAGCAACATCAGAGCCACAGTGACCTGGCAGCATTCTTCTAACTATATATGTATTATACTAATATGCATTCACAGGGAATGTTAGCATGGCTTTGTAAACTGTGACAACAGCTTTGTCCTTACAAATCCATGTAGTACAGTTAAACAGTCTATACAAAAAAAAACTGTTTTACAGGGACTTCTTCTTTGCCAGAAAGTAGTTCCAATGAAAACTGTTCGCAGTGAGAGCCATGGACTAAAAAGCCACTTTGCAGATATATTTAAAACGTAAATTTCCAATGTTTAGAGCACTACAAATAAAAATTCCCTTCATCTCTGTTGCTGGGGTGACCACAAAAATCTGTGGCAGATATCTTAAAATGTAAACAAATGATAACTAAATGATCTCTTTCCAGGCCTCTAAAGTTGTGAACATATCATCAGGATATGTGCCTGTGTGTTATAGTTTTTCTTCCTCACCTACTTCACTCCTTCCTCATCCCTGCTGTACTTCAAGAAGGCCGACAGATAAACTGCACTGAGCGCACCATACAAACAAAACTACTAGTCAAGTCAGAGTAGTTGTCGTGTCAAACACAGGAACTAATATAATAAAAACTGTGCTTTTTTTAAGTGACAGCATGCTTCACGATGACACCAGTGTGGGGTTTTGCAATACAGTACATTTGGGTGTACTGTCCTACGCTGCATGATGTCATCTACTGTGCCTTGACAAATGCATTAACTTATTCTAAAAAAAGACTTGCTTTTGCAGTTTACAGTCTTTAAATCTAACTCTGTCCAAACTTAGCTTAGCTTATTTCATCCAATACTGACATTATTTCATCTGATATGGTGCGTACATGGGTCATACTCTTTCTGTACATTAGCTTGTGTTTGACCATATTACCACACAGAGAGCAGGATTTATGGAGGCTAAAAGGAGCCCCAAGGCGCAGTTATGTCCTAGCAGGTAAATCCAGACGCTGCTACATACAAGAAGTGATAACATGCGCATGACTGTAAATTGTGTGAACACCCTTTAAGCTGTCATTGTGGTTTTTACTTTGGAAATTATACCAGTAATACCAGTCCTGCTAACTGATCCAGAAACCAAATTGCAGGTATTTGGAGAAATGCAGATTGAATGTCTTTGTGTGCCCTAATTTACATAGTGCAACAAAAGCAGGCAGGAACCTGAAAACAAGTTAAAAACATTTGTACAAGACAAGCTCCACATACAGTATATGAATATTAAAACCTTCCGTGACATTGTTTTTTTTTTTTTCCCTGCTAACCAATACCTGGCCACTGCCGATGACTTCCGGAGGAGAGTGAGTAAAGTAAACAGCATAGTGAGATTCAGCCCTGACTCAGTGGTTATACTGCTCCTCTGGACAAACACAGCTCAAGGCCCACCCACATATTAAACTAAGATAAACACAGCTGACAACTTGCAGCCACTCTCCATGCATCACTACACCTATCCACATCTGTGGTGGTAAGGAGGTGACTGGTCATTGCTCTTGCTGGTGTGTGTATGCAGCGTGGTGTGTAGCACAGCTGTACCTTGTCTCTATCTACTTCACAGGTTTGTAACATTTTGGCTCCTGAGCACTAAACATTCATGCAGAATGTTGACAAGATGGTTTTGTTACTCAGCAAAAGAAGAGGTTTAAAAAACTATGAGGTTTCACAAGTGTAAAAACAATAACTGTTACAAATTAATTAGAACATTACCCAATAACTAACCCAATAACCTAGAAACTAGCATTTGTTTTCTAATATGTGGCTCAATAGAGTGAGGTATATAGGGTGTATGAAATGTTTTCCCAGCACATTTTTGTTAGCTTCCTAGTCCTATGTGGACGGATACATTTCGCAGAAAAATACTATAAACAGCTGTATGATACACTTTAACTGAGATGGACAAACAACCTGTATACACATATGCAAAATGAGCCACATTAGTGCAACCATTAAAGTTTTTTTCCTTGTAAAAGTAGACCATGATGTTTGAAAACACTTCTAAGAGTACAAATATCACCGTTATCTGGCTTGTCCTAGAGGTTTCGTTGTCTTTTTCTCCTCCTTCTAGGCAGCAATTTGCTGAATATTGTTGTGGGGCCTTATACAGCCATACATTGGGAAGTGTAACTGTTGAAGTGGGTATTCCCCCTGAGCATAGGGGGAAGCACTGAGCTAATTGCTGCACATCCAAATAAGGAGAGGAAGATGGCATTTTAACGGGGGCTGGGGCTATTGGCTGATAAAACATAAAATATAATAAAATAAAATCAGAGGCTCGACTAAAAGAGTCTTAGTCGACTGACAGGTCTCTCAACTGATGATTCGACTAGTTGAATTTCAGGGGGCAGCCCTAATTCACACACTCCCTTTGTAAAATATCTGACATGATACAGAGGTTGTTTTGTGCTAGCACTCATACAAGCTATAGACTGTTTATCACTGCACTTAAGACCTGAAACCTAAAACTTCAACAAAAGGTGAAATCAAGAGGGGTGAGGCGCTTTGGGATACCAGCCAGCTAGCAGAAATGGGAAGTTTGTTTCACTCAACTGGGGGGAACCTTACAATAACAGAACAGGGAGTGTGAAAGAAATCAACTATGAGATGGAGCAGACAGCGCCAACCTACAGGTCTGGCAGTGTCCTCCCTGGTGAGCCTCATCTCTATGTGACTGCTGCGTGGCACCTGGTTAGCATCATTGGATATAATGGTAACACTTAACTTCATAAAAACAAAATTACATATTACTGTGAAAATAATCACTGCTTAGAGGGCTGACTGTATTATGGGCCTTTTGACCCATTTTAATAAATAATGAGTGCATATTAAACAGATCTATGGCATTTTATTCACCAAAAGTTGCTTAAATGTCTATATCCCTCTTTACAAACAGCCCAGATTCCCCTCTGCCCTCTAGCAGGCTGTTTCACAAGTTATTAAGATAAAAAGTACATTATTCGTGATTGCATATATTATTAGTATGATTGCAGTCCTTTTTATCGATTGTCTTCTTTGAGCTGTTTGACAACATTTTTATGGACACAGTCTATGTGATATCTCTGTTGATGTTTTGCGAACACGCATATGGAATGAAACGTGCTCCCTTTTCGTTTTCTAACATCCACTGCCTGTGGATAACTCAGACACACCTTTGTGGATTGGTGAGGATGTTAATGATTGTGGTCTGATACCAGGCATGAGATGTGTGTGCATATAAAGCTGCCTGACATTCAACTCTCCTTGAGAAAGACCAGGTGTCATCAAAATGAAATTGTAAAGATATATTATGAAAGCTTTATTATTTCTGATGCATGAAAGTTGGTGACATCAGCTTTGCTCATGTGAGTTCCTTCCCTCTTTACACCATTTAGAGGGGCAGGAATGGAAATCTCTGATGTGAACTAGTCAAAATTGCCCCCACAGAAATGCTGTGTTCACCTAGGCCTCCATCACTTATATGAAGCAGCTGACTGGAAAAAAATGTTTTCATGGCCTTTAAAGCTCTAGGGGAAAAGTGTGTAGGTCAGTATTGAGCTGCAATGTTACAATGCAATGTCCGAATTATCGTTTTCTATGTTCATGTTCAAGTTTGCCTTTTATACAAAAGAAATCAAAAGATTTACTCCAGTAATACTATGACATATAGTATTCTGTTCCCAGCCTGCTCCCTGGATTTCAAGGCAGCAATAGCCTCTGATGCATATTACTGCACTAGTCTGTGTCTTTCAGCACCGATGCCTCTCTGGTTGCTTTGCGCTAAGTAGAAAACTGAGCACACGCTTTGCAATGAGTGGTTTCAAATGACACATGCTTTCTTAAGAGAAACAGGCAAAATCATCTTATCACACAAAAAGATAAATACATCCTCCCCCTGAAAATGAAGACAAACAGAACACACCCAACCCACCACCTGTAGAATTCACAAACTTGAAGCATAATTCTCACTTCTTATTAGCTTGTCATATCTGTTAGTGTTGTCAAAAATATTGATTTTTCATTACATATCGATTCTGAAAATTCTGGAAAATTTTGAAGTGAATCTTTACTATAGATGTGAAGTCACAGAATGACATTTCCCTATGCTAAAAGTGGGCATAACAGACAACAACTGACAGATGGCATTAGTGGTGAAGCCACTGGCAGCAAGTTGGCGCCCAGGTCAAAAACAATTTGGTACATCCCACTAACAAAACTTAATTTGCACATGTGTACAACCATCAGTGATTCATACATACAGTAACTGATTTTTGCAGTGCAAGACCAACAAAAGCACTACTAAAAGCACCATTTTTACCGTATTTGAGTGTAATTATGGGTTTGTGATATATTGAATATTACGGCTGCAACTACTGATTATTTTAATAATTAATTAATCTGTCAATTATTTCTTCTAACTGATTAATCAGATGTATAAAAAAAATCTGTTTTCCACATTATAAAAACAAATGCATTAATTTAAACAATTCAGTTTCTGTGCAGTGCATTATTAAACAAAAAAATATCTGTTCAAGAATAGAGCTTTTATAAAGTGCACAATAGGCCCTTGCAGTGTTAAGTATGTAGTCACCCAGTCGCAGACCCAGCAGTCTCATACGGCTACATGACTAGACCCAAGAAATCAATAATTAAATTCATCGCCAACTATTTTTTTTATCGATTTTTAGCAATTTTATTGATTAGTTGTTGCAGCCCTATTGAATATACTTGATTTATCACAGCTTGCTCTGC